CCGGCCAGGGCGAGCGTGGATTTACATTTTCGTGAAAGGCAGACACAGGATGGAGGTCCCAGCTCTGCCATTTCCTGCCTGTGACTTTGGGCAGGTTGTGTCCCCTCTCGCATCTGTGTCGTCTCCAGAGCTGATGAGGCAGGACGCCCCTCACGGGAGCCGAGACGCAGGCGCGGAGACCAAGCACCGCTGTCCCCTCGCCCTGTGGTGTGGCCTCTCGGCTCACCCGTGCCCCAAGCCGGACGTCTCACCCCACACCCCAGACTACCAGGTGCACACGCAGGGAGGTGTGTCCCCCGACTGGTGGCAGAAGACCCCACCCAATCTGTAACTCCTCTGACAAGCAGAGGCAGGAAGCAGGGGACTTGGCCAGTTGCAGCTCCTGGGAGGGGTACCAGGGTCAGGGGACAGCCATGGGGTGATGGGGGCCCCCTGTAATTGCATACAGAGCTGCCTGGGGGCCCTACCTCTTCTAGGGCTTAGCCCATCTTCTCTGCCTGAGGCCGGCACCCTGGCTGGCCAGGGCAGGGCAGGTCTGCAGCGGCGGCTGCAGGGTCCCCAGCTGGGGCCCGGGGCCTCCGGGCTGGCTTGTCCAGGCCTCACCCGAGGCTGGGCCCAGGCAGGCCGGACCGGGGGAGCTGAGGGCCTGCTGGGCCGTGGGGACACGAGCCTGAGGTCGGAGCTGATGGCCGGACACTCAGCAGAGACACCGGGCAGGAGGCGCAGGCCCGTCACTGCTTCTGGGGGGGCTCCTTGCAGACAGACAGGTCAGGCCCAGGAGACCTCGGCCGGAGGAAGGCAGGGCTCCGTGGGGCGGTCCTCCTGTGCGGATTTCTTTGCGAGCAGCAGGGCCCAGCGTTGTCCTGGAGGCACCGGTGCCTGCCCAAGTCTGGGCCTGCCCACCTGCCCGGCCCACCTCCGGAACAGGCTCACGCTGACCCACAGGACAGAGGTAGAAGCAGCCTGTGTGAGACCTGTGGCCCGTTCCGCCCTCCCAGCCACCCCGCGATGGGATCACTGACCCTTGGCCACCCGCCAGCAGGCAGCTCAGGCCAGGAGGTTGGTGGCTGTCCCACAGCCCCTGCAAGCGGCCAGCAGGTGGACAGCGGGGAGCCCCGCGGCACCGGCCTTGTGTTTGGGCCCGGACAGCGGCAGGAGTTCCGCAGCTGCCTTTGGGGCAGTGTGGCCGAGGGCAGGTGGCGGAAGCTGTCGCAGCAGCACCCTGTGCTTGCGGGAGGCCACGCTCTGGCCTGAGCCCTCCTCGCTGCTCAAGCCCCTGGGTCTAGACTCCTGGGGCTCAGAACGAGACACCCCAGCCCAGCTCGTCACCTGCAGCCCCAGGACCCGACAGACTCTTGCCCTTTTCCTCCACCTCGTCAGCACAGCCTGGGCGTCACTCTCAACGCGTCACCCTCCCTGAACTCACGTGGCCAGCTCGCCCCAGCTCCTGCCGCCACAGGGGTGCGGCCAGTCCTCCCAGACCATCGGGGCAAGGCTGCGTGCCCCTCCTGCTGTGTGGTCAACTCCAGGGCCTCTGTTCAGGAGCCCCCGTGGAGCAGACCAGGGGAGGCAGGTGTCACTGACCCCTCAGGAGAGGCTGCACCTGTGTCCCCCTCGGTCGCTGGGCCAGGGAGGAGCTGCTGGACTGTGCGGGCCCAGGAGAGGGAGGCAGACGTGGATGCCGGCCTTGCTGGCTCCTCTGCTCGGGAGTCGGCCACCATTTTCCTTTTACGGCTACAAAGACCAGCCCTGTGACACCGTCCAGGCCCGAGCTCAGATCCGCCCTGTTCTCCTCTGTGGTCCCCCTTCCCTTGGCTCACAGGGCGTGAGGGGGAGGAACAGCTGATGACAGGCTGCGCCCTGCCTGGATGGGGGCCTTTGTTCATTCACTCGAGGGTGGACTTCCTGGGTGCCTGCTCCGGGCCAGGCCTGCGGGGTGACCACTGAGCACGCCTGGCCCCTCCCCCTAGGCAGCCCAGGGCATCAGGGCACCGGCAGGATGGCACAGGGGTCTGGGGCAAGTCCTGTGTGTTCAGAAAAGAGAGCAGCTTGCCCTATGGTGGCACAGGGTTGGAAATGGGAACAAGTGGGTGAGGTCTTGAAGGATGAGTAGGAGTTGGCAGGTCAAGCAGGACCTAGTGGCCAGGCCGTTCCAGAGTTTGGGAGAGCAGGGAATGTCTGGGCAGCGGGCCCGGGGCCGGGAGGCTGGTCTGTGGAGGGAGGGCACCCAGGGAAGAGTGTGCCAGGGGCAAGGCAGCCACCGCAGAACTCCCATGGGGGTGGGGGCTGCAGAAGGGGGACTGGGGACCAGTGGAGGGGAGGGGAGGGGAAGGGACCCGCTTAAGTCAAAGTCCCACCATACCCTTGGAAAGGGCCTGGTTTTGGGGGCGGGGAAGCCCTGCTGGCCCCTGGCCAATCCCCCCACCTTGCTGCCATGAATCGCAGTTCTGTGTCTCCACTTCCAACTCCAGAACTGGGCCGTGGGTCCCCCGGAGTCTGCTGCGCGTGGAGGGCCCACCCACAGGTCGGGGCTCAGCTGGAGACACCCGAATGCTGCCCACAGGAGCCCCGAGTGCCGACAGGAGCGCGTGGGCCCCTTGGTGGGACCCCTGCCAGCAGCCCAGTCCCTGTGGCTCTGGGGGTCCAGGAGGCAGCAGCGAGGCCCGTGGGCAGCGTGGGTGGGAACCCAGCCCAACGCCCCTCCTCCTGTGAGTCCGTCTCCCCCTTGCTCTGTTCTTGCTGCCGAGGGCACGGCTCCGCTGGGTCCCCTGGTTCAGCCTCCACGGTGCCGTGTCGGAGGCTCTGAGGGTCGCAGGTCACTGGCCAGCATGGAGTGGGGGCTCTGGCCCAGAACCGGTCCCTCCAGGTACCCCGGCCCCGGGAGCTGCAGCCCACAGCCTCGGCCCGCAGTTAAGACCTAAAAGCCCTTGCATCCTGCGTGTGGGCAAACACCAGCCGGCTGCTCACGCGGCCCTTCCCTCCGATGGGCTCTCATTCCCACGGTGAGTCCTTCAGCGGGATCAGCCCGCGCACCACTCGCCCAGGGGCTGCAGCGGAGGGAGTTCTCATTCCCACGGTGAGTCCTTCAGCGGGATCAGCCCGCACACCATTCGCCCAGGGGCTGCAGCGGAGAGAGCCTGGCCGGAATCTCATCACACAGCATCTTCTTTTGTGGGCGATTTCTTGTTTCCTCTTGGGTGGAGTTTATTTGGGGGACAGCAAACCTGGCCCAGGGGCCCCGTGGAGGTGCCCACAGAGAGGAGTCCTGGGGCCAGGTGCCCAGGGACTCGGGTGATGAATGGGGTGGAGGTATTTGCTGGGGGGAGTTTTGTTCTGCTTTGAGCAGTGGACACAACACCGACCTCCCTGCTGTGCAGAGGAAAGGGAGCCGACAAGAGCGGGGGGAGTCCAGAGGGAGGGGCCCGGAGCGGGGGCAAGGGGTCAGCACCTGCCAGGCTGTCCCACTCCCCCGACAACCCTCCTGGCAGTGAATGGGCTTCGTGGCTGCCCTCGGGCCCAAGGGCAGCGGAGGGAGGCACACAGGTCCGGCAAGAGGCCGCGCAGGGGGAACAGCCCAGCTGCGCGCACTCCGGCCCTGGTCACACATCCCCCCACATACACACTCACGTTGCCTTCCCGGTGCCTCGTACACGGATGCGTGTCCAGAGGCCCAGCGTCCGTCCACTCCGTCCCCCTGCCCTGCCCAGGTGCACAGCGCGCCCTGCAGCTTGCGGAGTTCTCGGTAGTCGTGGTAACGGTGCTGAACACCTAGGGTGCCAGGCTCTCCTCCAGCCTGCGCTGCAGAGGCTGCTATACGGGCATCCGGCGAGGGTTCCCGGGGCCCGGCTTCTTGCACCGTTATGCCAGGTTGAGCAGACATTCTGGGGGCTGTCGTGCAGGGTCCCATGGGCCCCACAGTGGCGCCTCCGTCCACACTGACGGCGCGTGTGCGGGTTTTGCCTTTTTGCTTTGACCACTGAGCTTCTCGGATCATTCTACACATGTCCTCTGGCGGACGTGTGGCACTTTTATGTGGCATGCATGCCTTGGCGTGGAATTGGTGGCCATGCCACGTACAGCCCTTTGATAGTGATGAGTAGGTATTTCGGCACCGGGAGGGGCCCCAGGCCACTGGTCTGGCGACGCTTTCAAAGAAGGGGTGCCCTTGGCCAGGCCAGCCGCGTCAGGCTGCAGCGCTGTGCAGAACCAGACCCCGAGACGGACAGCTTGGCTTGGAGGATGTTGTCAAACCAACTTCAGCCACTTCCTTCCAGACAGGGTGGCCGCCTGGCTGCTGGGAGCGTGCGGTCAGACCTTGGGGTGAGCGGAGCAGTGGGCTGCAGAGTGGTACCCCAACCCCTGTGAGCAGCGGGAGGGGTCTTTCACCAGAACCCGACTCTCCAGCTCACAGCCCCCCAGGTTACCGTGGCCCTGAGACAAGGTCACAGCTCCTCCCATTACTGTCCAGACTCCCGGGAAGTCCCCAGGAGACCCCCCAAACTCCAGCCTCATTACAACCCTCTCCCCTCCCCCAAGCCCCTCCTCCACAAGGGGTCCCTCTGGTGCCAAATGAACTCCACAGGTGTCTGCATTTATCACGTGGTCTTACTCTCCTTGTCCTTAGCGTCCAACCGGACCTCGGGAAATGTCTGGAGAATGGATGAGAGCTTTGGGAGGTCCCAGCCCCCCAAACCTCAGTCAGCAGCTTTGCAGGAGCCCTCTAGGGGCAGGAGCAGCCTCGGAGGGAGGGCACTGGCAGATGGCATGAGCCTCCCAGGATCGGGGCGGAAGGCAGGCAGAGGTCAATCTCCCGGCCCCTCCCAAGGGCGTCTTCCTCGGCACATGGACAGGGGGGTCATCGGTCACTGCCCCGGGGCTCTAAGCAGGCTCCCATGTGAGGGGTGTGGGGGTCTCCAGGTGTGGGGGCCAGTCAGGAGGGAGGTGTGTTTCCTGAGCTGGGACTGGGGTGTGGACTGGCTGCCCTCTGCCTCGCCCTCCAGGCCCAGTGACGAGCACCACCCCGAAGTGAGGGCTGACGGGTACGTGGACAACCTCGCAGAGGCCGTGGATCTGCTGCTGCAGCACGTGGACCAGTGATGGGTCTCCTGAGACGACCCCAGCCTCCTGCCACCCTCCCCCAGTGCCCGGACCACCCGAGGCTCCGCCCCCCACCCTCCCCAGGCAGAGGAGAGGGCACAACCAGACAGCCGTGGGCTCCTAGCCTCTTCCTGTCTCCTTCTGCCGACCCTCTCTCCCTCCCCACTCAGGCCCCCAGCCTCCCCACGGTTGGTTTCCCCCAATGGCCTGCACCCCCCCCCCCGGAGCCGAGTGAAATCAGGAGGGAAACCCCCATTGGCTGGGCAGAGGTGCTCAGAAGCCCGAAGCGCTCTCTGCCAGCGCCGGTCCTGATGTTCCCCCTGCCTGGACCCAGCCAGCTGCCCACCGCTGCTTTGTCAAACACCCTTTGCGTTTGTGAGGAGCCTGGAGAGCCGGGCCTGCGTGCAGCCTGGAGCTAGACCGCCTCCCCAGACTGCCCAGCCCAGCCCGGCCCCGCCCTGACTCTGAGTGGCCACTTAGCAACCCCCCCCCCCAATGCCAGCCCACCACGTTCCTGCCCCCCCAAGTCACCACTGGAGCCAAAAGTGGGGGCCGCTCCCAGGAGCAGCCGGAAGACCACACACTACAAAGTGAGAATGTTAACCTCTGGGGTCAAGGTCGCAGGCACAGAGGGTGCTTTCTGGAGCCCTAACCCAACAGGCGTGTGTGTCCTGCCTGCCCACTGTGCGCAGCAGGAATCTGACCGTGAAATAAACCACCCTGACTGCAACCGACTCGGCTTTGGCTGCGGGGGCTGGGCGTGGCAGGCGGAGGGCAGGGGCTTGAACCCCGCACAGCAGAGGGCCAGGGCCCCGAGGCACCACTGAACAGACGGGGAAGCCGAGGCCCTGCGGGGACGCGGTGGACGTGGCCAGCGGTAGGCAGCCTCACACTTTCCGGTCGCTCACAGCCCTTCAGGCTTCAGAAACAATCAGCTGGGCAGGCAACTCGATTGCTGTTTTCCCCCGAACCGATCCATCTCGGGAGACTTCTCGTGAAGTCCTGGGCCCCCTGTGATGGGATTCCACCCCATGAAGGTGGGCAGTGCGGAGACCCGAGCCCCTGGCACGATGGGCACTGGGTGGTCCCCAGGCCTCGCCTGGCAGGCAGCCCAGCATCAGACCAGGAGGAGGAGGGACCGGCGGGGTGGCCACTGGGCTGGTGTCACTGGCCTGCGGGGCGTGTCTGGCCTATTAGCTGGACAATACGAGACTCACCTGCTCTCTGATGGGGTCCCGTGGTCTCAGCCGGCTGGGATTCACCTGGGTGTGGAGGGTGTGGGGGGTGACTTCGTGGAGAGAGGCCTGTGTCCTCCTCTCTTCCCCTCTCGTGGCTGCCCTGGCTCTTCTCGCAGGAGCTCACAGCCAGGCAGCGCCCCCGCAAGGAGGCCAGGCAGCGCCCCCGGAAGGAGGCCAGGCAGCACCCCCAAGGAGGCCAGGCAGCGCCCCCAGAAGAAGGCCAGGCAGCACCCGCAAGGAGGCCAGGCAGCGCCCCCCCAGAAGGAGGCCAGGCAGCACCCCCAAGGAGGCCAGGCAGCACCCCCAAGGAGGCCAGGCAGCGCCCCCAAGGAGGCCAGGCAGCACCCCCAGAAGGAGGCCAGGCAGCGCCCCCAAGGAGGCCAGGCAGCGCCCCCGGAAGGAGGCTGCTGTTCTCTGCCCACGGTTGAACAACTGGCCGGCAGGCGGCTGCCCAGGAGTGGGGACGGGGTGTCAGGGGTAGTGCCGGAGGGACAGCGGTACAGACCTGCTCGGGCTGGGCAGAGAACACGGCGCGCCCTCCCCTGGCTGTGGTTCAGTGAAGGGGGCACTGCCAGCTCCCCTTTTTACAGGTAAGGAAGCTGAGGTGCCGAGAGAAAGCGGCTGGCCTGCGGGCTGACCGGTGGTAAGGGCGCAGCTGAGGCACGAATCAAGGTCTGACCTCGCACCCGTGCCCTTTCTAGTCCCTTCCTGTCCTGGGGGGCCTCTGGTGGCCTCGGGGGCCGACTTGCCAGGCGGCCGTGCACTGTCCCTCCCTCTGGCCAGCGTCTTCGGAGTTGAGGTCTGGCCCTCCGTTGGGGGCAGCGTGAGCCGAGCCCCAGCCACCTGACCCTTTCCTTAGCAGAGCACAGAGCCCTGCTGGGGACCAGGTCACACCGGGTGTCACGTGGATGGTGACCCGTCCTGCTGCCACCCGGTCCTCCCAGCTGCCTGGCCCTGGCACACCCTCCACGCCCCCCGGCAGGGTGAGCAGGGTTCTCAGGCTGGAAATGGATGGAGCCACTGGCCACGGGTGGGCCTGGGGTTCAGGGCCGACGTGAAGGGGTTCTGGGGGGCTGCCTGGTCCTCAACACCAGGTGTGCGTCACCCCCAGGCCCGGGAAGCTGCAGCACTCCTACCCTCCCCCAGATCAGCCCAGAAGGTCCCCGGGAGGCCTAGGAAGGCCACGCCCCTCCCTGCCCTCAGGCAGGAGTCGGGGTGCAGGGAGGAACCCATGTGATCACGGGCCCCCTTCCCACCCCAGGATGGTCCCCAGAGCTCCGGCTTTCCCTCTAAAAACTGTCCCTGCTTAGATAAACATAGGAGACTCTGCATTATCTCTGTTTCTTCAGTTTTGATTTTCCTTTTAGGTTACAAAAGCCGCATGTATACTACAGGAAATTCAACAGAAAAGCCCTCAGAGACAACTGTTAAGATCTGGGGCAGTTCCTCTGGCCCCCTTTCCACGTGAAGACCGTGTTTCTAACAGTCTGCACGGTGCACCTGGCGTGGGGCTGGGGCGTTCTGCATGGACTCCTGTCTAAGCGGCAGTGTCACGGCCCGTCCACCGAGGGGCTGAGCCAGCCCACCCCGCTGTCCCGAGCTGGGCCCGTGTCCGATGCAGGTGTGACCTGGCCGGGCCGGGAGCCCGCAGCAGGCAGGTGGAGCTGTGCCCTGGACAGCGTCCTGGCTTCAGCAAATGCAGAGGTGCAGGAAAGCACGACAGTGTCCAACCTCCGCCACGGGGACTCAGGGCAGCAAACAGGCCATCGCCGGGCAAGCCGAGCTGGAGGGCAGGTGCTGCTCTGCCCAGGGCCCAGCCCCAGGTCCCCCATGACTGCCCAGCAGAGGCCAGGGCAGCTCCGCCCAGCACAGTGGCGCCACACGCCCTCTTCCCGAGGGGCCAACCGCGTGGCCCTGGCACAGTCAGCGCCCGCGCAGCGTGGCTCGCACAGCCCCTGCATTGGAGCCTTTCCCGGAGACTCCACTGACCCCGTTTTACAGACCGGACCCTGAGGCTGAGGTGACAGAGGTCCAGGCTCTGCCCCTGCCGCGGGGGAACCCCCTTTAGCCACACCCACAGAAACACACACAACTCCTGGCGGCTGGATAGTAAACCAGGAAGCTTTATTTACACAGTAAAAGTAACAAGCAAATTCCTGAGACTAGAGCGGCTCTCGTGCGCGACAGCCGTGGCCTGCGAGAGGGGCGGCGCGGGGGAGGGGCGGGTGCATGGCGGCCTTGCTCGGGAGGGGCCTGCCCGACCCCGTACGCTGGTTGCTGCCCTTCCTGACGGAAGTACATCGGATTCGGGGAAGCACACTGCGGCCCCAGCAGCAGCCCCCCGCTGCCACCGAGCCCCGGGACGGCCCCGCGCACTGAGAACACAAGGTAGCTGCCGAGGAGACTATGCTAGCAGGTCACTACCCTACCTAGGCTACACGCTGCTGCCGTCTGAGCTCTGCCTTCATCTTCTCTCGAGAGGCATGTTTTCTGTGGCTGGGCCACGTGTGTGGCTGTGGCAGGAGGTGGCCCCTCTGCCTGTGAGGGAGCAGAGTGTCCGGGCGGTGCCCACGGGCCAGGCAGGGCTGCAAGGCCTGGTGTCTGGAGGGGCTGTCACCCCCAGGTGCCTGGAGCAGTGCCTGGAGCCGAGGCCAGAGCGGATGGTCGTCACCTCAGGAGCAGACACGGAGGTGCAGCGCCCACGGACACCAAGCCTGAGCTGTGGCAGGGCCACCCAGGGGGTGTTTCAGTGCCACAGAAGCTGCTCAGACAGGCAGGGCCCCAAACACCCCCTGGGCGGCATCAGCCGGGGGGGAGCCACGTGTCCTCTGGGGGACCCATGTGGCTGTCTGCTTGGTTTTCTCGATCACGTGGGCCTCCCTGCACTGAAATCCCCCCAGCACACACATTCACAGCTTTCCTGCTACAAAACGGTCGCTGCAAAGTAAGGCTTTCTGAGAACGAGCATCCGTGTGCATGGTCAGAACAGGGTCCCTGTGGCCCGGACGTGCGTGTGCCTGTGGGCCCCGAGCCAGCCTGGCCACCGACTAAGGCAAGAGGGTTGCGGCAATGTAAACGCAGTCTGCGGCGGCTCCGCCCGGCGCCCATGGGCGTCTCAACACCACCCCCGAGACCCCGGGAGCCCGTCGTTGACAGGGTACTCCTTTGGGGTAAGGGCAGCCACGTGGTAGCACTCCCCTTCTCCCCACCCACTGTCCTGGAGCCATGCAGGGACCCCGGGGCAGGTGGGCCGTCTAGCACTGCCCTCCCCCGGCCCTGCCCTCCTCGGTGTCCCTGCAGAGGCAGGAGCTCACGGCATCGGCTATGAGGCAGGACCCCGACAAAAGTGAGGCTCCTGCATGGTGAGCCCCTGGGGACAGTCACATAGGGCCAGAGGGAGCCTGCGGGGGGAGCTTCCCCCAAGTTCCAGAACGGCCTCTCTGGGCAGCGTGGCAGAACCTTCCAGGTGAAGTCTGCTCTCCAACCAAAAGGCGGATGTGGGACCGGCGGAGGCCATCTCTCCTCCGGGCAGAAGGGGCCGCTCTCCCCTCTGCTGCTGCCGTGGCTGGGGCCGAGGCTTGGCGGGGGCAGGCAAGCCAAGAGGGGCCGGGGAGGCTGGGCTGATGGGCTGCTGGGACCAGCTTGGGGGGCGGGGGGGAGATGGTCTGAGAGGTCACCTGCACCACAGCCCTGGGACCCCCCGCACCACGCGCCTCCCTCGTCCCGAGGAAAGGATCTGGGGGCTGCTGCCCAGGCCTGTCCTGCTCAGCTTTCCAGCCTTTACTGGGGTCACCTGCCGTGTGGACCTTCCACAGGAAGAAGCATTCAGGGGCCACGATCCCTCTGTGGCGACTTCGTGGTGCGGGCCACGTGCTAGTACCTGCCACCCCAGGCTTTCTGAGGACACGAGGAACCAGCACCTGCTCTCCAAATTCACACGCTGCCCGATGTCCCCTGCCACCTGCCCGGCCTCCTCCGGATCAGCTCTGAGATGACTGGCTGTCACACCGCCAGGGGCACTGGGCAAGATGTCCGCGTCGACCCAGAGCCGCCAGCTCCCTGGTCTGGCTCTGCGCGGTCCTGAGGGGACGTGCCTTTGGGAGGGGCCCCTGGGGCGATGCAGGTGGGCACCCGGGCCCCGCCCCCGCCCACACACCCATCACGCTCTCCAACGGGAAATTCCACCACCACCTCCGAGGCCACCGAGCGCGTTTTCTGCAAGAGGCTGACGTCTAGAAACAGCGACCTTTGCATCAGAACCTGAGCCACCGCTCTTGATATAAAAAAGTGAAGGTTTAAGTCAGGCTTCCCAGTGAGACCTCTCTTTAGGGAAAAGAAGGTGTGTTCAACCTGCAGACGGGAGGCATCCGCCGCGAACAGATGAGCGAGCGGAGCGGATGCCTAAGCGCCGTCGCCCCGAGCCCGTGGGCTCCGGACGGCACACCAGTTATTTTTAGCCTTTTGGGAGAAGGAGCTACTTGCTCATCAGCCGACCCAGTCGCTGCTATCCGTGGGGTGCCGGGTTTGCTGCGAGCCCCGTGCCGAGAGCAGCACCCACGGGGCGTGGCCGCGGTGACTGGCCAGGAGCTGCCCGAGCGAAACCTCGGGGCAGGGCTCCTCGTGCCGCCGCCACCAGGGAGCCTGCTGGGTGCAAGGGGCAGGATGCCAGGGGCCGGGGAGGGTGCGGCTGAGCCTCAAGCACTGTGCCTGCGGGGTGGGGGTGGGGGGGCTGCAGGAAGGAGCTGGCAACACAAACCCTGCTCCCAGAGGAGCCGAGGGGGCCTGTCTCGAGGTGGGCGGGGCGCCCTGATTAAAGCCAGCAGGCCCCCCACCACGAGAATGTGCTTGGAACACGGCAGGCTTGGCAGGCCCTCGGCCCAGGCTCCCAGTGCCGCCACCCACAGACAGCTCCACCCCGAAATGCCAGCCTCCGAGGGTGTTTTCAGGAGGTGGCCCTGTGCTGGTGACTCCTCCCCACTCACCTGAATCAGCTACGCTCGTCATCTCATCACAGTGACAGGTGAGCACAGGGAACGGCTGCCATCTGCCCGCCTGCCCGAGTGGACCCGAGTGGCCGAGGGCCACGGGGTCGGGCCAGCAGGTCCTCCCCGTGTCTATCCTATGCAGATGGCCTCGGACAAGCAGCCCAAGCCGTTCCCTGCGCCCCGAGAGTTCAGACAGGGGCCACCCGGCATCCTGGGCCTCTGTCGCTCACACTGGGAATTAAGGCCAAACGGTCTGTGTTGCTACAGAAAAAAGCGTCTCCTGAACCTTCCCAAGCCCGAAGCGGGGAGACCTGGGAGCAAAGGCACAGAATAAAACTGAGTGAAAGAAACTGCGGGGCCGACTCCCCGATCGGAACCTGAGCAGGAGGCCAAGAAGGGCCTTGACACCACGGATGGGCCTGAGCCCGACAAGCCCCTCGAGGTGGGGACCCCGGCAGGGCCGCATGCACAGGGGCCAGGACGGCGCCTGGCGGGGGTGCCTGGGATGCGTGTGGCCGGTGTCCCATGAGGACAAAGGGCAGAGACCCAAACCAAGGAGCTGTTCTGGGGGTGACAGCAGTTCTGTGGACCGGGGCGGCCGTGCTGGTGAGGGCCGGGCGCTCTGACCCGCTGCGCGGCGGGGTCGCCTGCACGGGCCAGGGCCTCCGCGGTGGCCAGCCTCTCCGGGGTGGGCAGGCTCACTCCCTGGCCAACGGCTTCCAGAAAGCTTCCAGGCCCAGGAGTGGGGCTCCCCCTCCAAGTGCCCGAGTGCCCGGAGGGAGGCTGTGGATCCTAGCGCACCCCACCCCGACCAGGGCCCACGTCTCAGTTGTTCTCTATCTGCTCAATGTCCAGCTCGCCATCCAGCGAGCAGGGGCTGCTCTGGGCCGCCCCGCGGTCCCGCCAGGCGGAGGCCGGCTCGCCCCCCCTGCCGCAGCCCTCGTCCGGGGTGCAGCCATCCGACTCTTCGCAGCACAGCTCCTCCCTGCAGGCGAGGTGGTCGAAGGACGGGGGCAGAGGCTCGGGCACGGGGGTCCCGGCGGGGGTCCTGCCCCCGGGACCGGAGGCCGAGAGCAAGGCGGCCCAGGACCTGGTGCTGCCGACGTGCAGGGGGAAGGGGCTGTGGGGGCTGCGGCCCTCCATCCCGGAGCTCAGGCAGCTGAGGCTGCTGAAGGTCTCGCAGTTCTGCGGGGAAACAGACACACAGGTTACAAAGGGTCACGCTCCCTCCCGGAACCCAAGGACCGTGTGCCCCCCAGGCCAGACCAAAGCCTCTGGGGCGAGGGTCTGCCAGGCGGGGCAGGACTACCCACATCCCAGGCTCCCCCACCGTCTGCCTGGGCCAGGAGCAGGGTCGCCAGCCTCTCACTCCAGAGTCACCTTGGCCCACACACGCCACGTCGATAGAGACACGCGGAGCACAGTTATGTGCCGACAAAGCGGCGAAAGGCAGAGCCCTCGGGCACCGCCTCTCTGAGGGGTGCTCTGGTTAAAGGGATCAGGTTCCTTTGGGCAATTTCACTTCCAGGGTTTGTGTCTGAAGAAAACAATTCAGGGTGCCTGCAAAAGCAGCCCCACAAACGAGCCTCGTGACGCTGTTCCCCGGGACAGGAGCCCGCACCCTCCACAGCACCCCCCACGACACTGTTCCGGAAGCGTGCCTCTCAGACAAGGCAGGCTCTCGAGCCTCTGAAAGAACATTCCGGAGGAATCCACTGCCACAGATGGAAACGCGCCAGGCTGCACTGCCGCACAAAGGGGCATGATGCCCACTCCACCCACTCGTCACGACTGGGGAGGGCGGGAAGGGGGCTGAGGGCTGAGCTGACGTCCGTCCGGCCTGGTGCACACGCAGCCCTCCAGGGAGCTGGTTTCCACGGGAACCCAGGGCCCCGCCTAAAGATGCTGAGACGCTGCTCTCCGGGGGAAGGAGGCTCCAGGACCTTCAGTGGGCTCTCAGGTGGCGGGTGCCGCCGGGCTCCCCAGCTGAGGGCCTCAGGCAGACCCCTCAGCCTCCCCAGGCTTGGCTGCCTCATCTCGAGGAGGCCAGCGATGGGCCGAGGAGGCCCAGTGAGACAGTGTGGCTGCGAGAGCTTCCTCCTACAGGCTGGCCTCACCGCACGCTCAGAAGGGCCCTGCGCTTGGTTTAAAGCTCAGCTTTGCCATCTCGCAATTCTGAAGTTTTTTCAAAAGGCCCCTGTATTTTCCCTGTCCACTGGGCCATGATTTATGTAGCCAGCCCTAACCCTGACCCCGTCCCTCCCACCCACTACTGCCTCTGTGTGAGGCCGGCCTGGGGCCCGCCCGAGCAGGGGTGTAGCCTGAACACCAGCCCAGAGTGCTGGGGCCACCTGCTCACGGAAGTGGGGCAGGGCCAGCACGGTGCACAAGGGGGTTGAGTTAAACATCCATTTTCACAGCAGAGGGGTGACAGCCAGGGACGCCCACAGCCCAGCCCCAGAGGTCCCCAACAGGACCCGGAGCAGTGCGCCCCTTCCAGGGGGATGAGACAGACGCACGTGGGCGGCGAGGGGGTGCGGGCAGGGACCCGCCAAGATCACAGCCTGTCCCGAGGGCCCTGGACAGGCTCGCGTCCGTGCGTCGCGGGAAATGAAGACCACCAGCCGCCACGGGAAACGGGCAGCTGGACCGGGTCCGGCAATAAACGGAAAAGAACGGCGCTCTGGACGCGGGTGCCCTGTGCGCCCGCATTGTTCCGGAACGGGCGCGGAGGAAACGGACGGCCTGGCTTTTCCTGGGCCCTTCGGACTGAGCTCCTGAGAACGGTGAGGCCCGGGGCCGGGCGGAAGCTCTGGGGAAACCGCCGGGGTGGAGGACGGAGGGGCCGGGCACCGACCAGACCTCCCGGAGCCAGAGGCTGGCCCGCGCTGAGGCGGGAGCCCAGGCTGAAGCCTCACCGGACTGGGGACCCTGCCGTCCCCTGGCCTGGGCACTGTGGGGTTCAGCGAGGCCGCCCCATCTGCGCGGAGCACATTCCCTCCCTGACAGGCAGTCAGCTGCTGACAGCTTCGCATACAGAACCACGTCCCAGGTCGGACCACCGCCCAGAGGCTGGGCCTGGGCGAGCGGAAGCCCGATGCCCGCGATGGGGTGGGTGGTCCTTGAGGCCCCTTCGGCCTCCCAACCCGTGTCTCAACTGGCCAAGGCCTGAGCCAGGACAGAGGAGAACTGGTCAGGAACAAGGAAGAGGGGGGACGGGGCCTCAAACCCCACCTGTCCCAGGCGGGAAAGGCCCAGGTGTCAGGCCAGGAGATGCCATGTAGCTCAGACGACACTGAGAGGTCTGTCTGTCTGCTCTAGGGACGTGGCGTGGGGAGGGAGCCCCGCGCGTGGCAGGGTGACCCCTGGCATGAACAACACCGCCCCGTGTAAACCTGCAGTGCTGGGAACTGTGCGCAGGCGGTGCCGGGACACGGGAGCCTCGGCCGGTGGGTCCCTCACGCCCGTGCACCCCAGCACGCAGAGCACGGAACGGGGGTCCCTGTCTCGTGAGCTGCAGTGTGAAGACAGGAAGCGTGGCTGTAACCGGAACAGGGCTGCTCCCAGGTCCGCGTCCGCCACCCCGCTGCTCTGGTCGTCCTGCCTGACTTCACGGCAGATGTGGCAGCGTCTGGGCACTAAGCTGGCCAACGTTAGTCATGCCAGCAGTGGGCGCTGGGGACCCCGGCTTGCTGGAACTTTCAGACATAAATGGAGAGGGGAGTGCGGGCAGGGACTCGCCAGGATCACAGCCTGTCCTGAGGGCCCTGGACAGGCTCACAGAGGGCCGAGGTCAGACCCAGGCTGTGCCTGGAATGGGCATCACGGCTTCAGACAAGACGCTCCACCCTCTGGGCCTTGGCCCACCCACCCAGTAAGGGGGGACCAAGGGCACCCAGGGCCACCTCATTCTGGAGTCTGAAATAACGGGGTCCTTGCTTTGCAGCAGGGCCAGGAGCCCTTGGTGAATGTCTTCAGTCAACCCCAGGCCACCACTGAGCCCCACCCCCACAGTCCTCAAGGCACCTGCTCCTTGGCTACAAAGCAATGTCACCTTGAAAACCTTGTTGACTGAAAACTCAGCCACAGTGAAAACCAAGACCCACCTGTGACAGATGAATGCCCGGGCGGCGGCACACCCCTCCTGCCGGGGAGGAACAGGAGGCCCACAAAGGTGTCCTTCCAGACGCTGTCCGGGGAGAGCCCACCCCCTGCAGACATGCAGGGCACGCCCCATGGAGGAAGCCCGGCTGCATGGGCCTGTGGGGGCCGGAGGCCCGGGTACCCTCGGCCTGTCCGGGAGTCTCGCAGCCACACGACTGTGAACGCGGACCATCATTCCAGGTGAGCCGGCTGCGTCAGGGCCCACCCCTGCGCCAGTGCGGTCCCAGGGAAGGGCTGCCCACTTGGCTGGGCACAGGCCTGCCCAGGAACAAAGCTCAGACTGTCCGTGTGGCCTCAGGCTAGTGGCCGAGACATGGGTCAGCGCCCAGTGGAGTCTGGGGATGCTTGGGAATGCGGCCCGTCGCCTGGCCAGGCCCCCGCTGCAGCCATGTCGGTCCACACCACCCGGTCCCGGGGCCTCCCCAGCCAGGAGAAGGCCCCCTCTCCTCACAGGGCTGCTCTGTGCAGACATCCGCTCCTTCCTGTACCCTCCTCTGGGTGGGAGGCCCTAGCCGGGCCCTGAAGACAGACATAGTGGGGAAGGGCCTGGCTCATAAGGGGCCCAGAGTTGCCCCAGGCCTCAGGGGGACCCCATTAGGCACTGTCACATACAGAGGCCCCCGTGGGTCAGGCTCAGGGCTGCTTCCTGCCCTGTCCACTTCCCGCACCCCCTCCGGTGTCCCTGAGGGCCCCCCCACTGGGACCTACGACGGTGGTGGAGCACCCGGCACGCAGGGCTGGTCAGCACGCGGGTCCTTCCGAACAGGCCGCAGGCCACTCAGGGGCCGGCCCGGGGTCCCGTCAGCCTGCCGCACGTCCGCTGGGGAGCAGTGGGTTCTGGGGGACACCTCTCCCTGGCCAGTCCCTCATGAGCCTTCCCCTCACCGTGGCGCTGGGACAAGACCTGCTGCCCGAGGCACACGTGTGTGTCCCCTTCTCAGGCCAGAGCAGGGCCAGGGCGCCCCACCTCACCGGGCACTGTCCTTCGAGGCCGGGACACGGACTGATCCCTTTCAGTACCACCTCCCTCTTTTTACTTATTTATTTTTAAGTATGTTTTTATTGATTTTTATTCAGAGAAGAGAGAAACATCGACTGGCCGCCTCCTGCACGCCCCCTACTGGGGATCGAGCCCACAACCTGGGCACGTGCCCTGACTGGGAATCAAACCGGGACCTCTCAGTCCATGGGACGATGTTCCATCCACTGGGCCACATGATCTTAATCCCGCCTTTCTCTCTCTCTTTTTTTTGTTTTTGTTTTTTAATCCTCACCCGAGGATATTTTTCTATTTTTCTTCAGAGAGAGTGGGAGGGAGGGAGGGGGGGAGAGACATCGATGTGAGAGGGACACATGGACTGGCTGTCTCCTGCACAACTCTGACCAGGGCTGGGGACGAACCGCAACAGAGGTACATGCCCCTGACCAGACTCGAACCCGAGACTCATTGGTCCGCGGGCTGACACTCTAACTGCTGAGCCAAACTGGCCAGGGCTAACCGCACTTTTTTTTTTTTTTTTTTTTTCCATTTTTTGTTCAGGTAGAGGGGAGGGAGAGAGAGAGAGAGAGAGAAACATCGACGTGAAAGGGACACATCGAGTGGCTGCCACCCGCACGACCAACCAGGGCCGGGGACAAACTGCAACCAAGGTACGCGCCCCTAGCAGGAACCGAACCCGGGTCTATTAGGACCGCAGGCCGATGCTCTAACCGCTGAGCCAAACTGGCCAGGGTGACCGCACTTTTTAAATCTGAGTGGACGGCCTGGCCAAAGCAGCTCAGTGGCTGGGCCCCGTTCCACACACTGAAAGGTTCGATTCTCGGGTTGCAGGGCACATGCCCAGGTTGCAGGTTGGATCCCTGGTATGGGCACGTATGGAAGGCAACTGATTGATGCTTCTCTCTCTCTCCTTCTCCCTTCCTCTCTCCAAGCATGTCCTCGGATGGAAAACAAATCAGTAAACAAATAAAACAGAATTTGATGGATCGCTGTGTGTTCCAGATTTGGGGTGTAACGAACC